GTGAAGAGCTTCATGGATAGTACCCTTGGAGGTGATGGGTATTTCATTGTCTTAGAACTTCCTTCCACTAAAAGATGATGAAAGGTTCGTCTTTCACAACTTGGTAGCTAGTGACGGCTTAGGAGACGGAAGTCGCCGGCTTGATCTTTCTCTTTTGCCCCCTGGTGGTCAGTCTAGGCTTTTGGAGTCAGTCTATGGAGTCAGCTAGGATCGTGTTGATCCATATGACCTTTTTCGTTGAGGTTCATCGTTAGCTGCGTCACAATCCTTGATTTGCTGGATAGCCCTCCTTACGATGAATTCTGTGCAATGGCCGTCTCTGACTAGATCTTCAAGGTGCCTTTTCCAGGCGAAACAGTCGTTTGTGTAATGACCATGCCCTTCATGGAATGTGCAGTATCTACTGGTATCCTTCTTGGTTGGGTTTCCCTTTAAAGGCGATGGTTTCTTCAACCAAGGCATGTCTTTTACTTGGGCCAAGATCTGGTGTATCGGGATAGTGAACTTGGTGTAGCTCTCCGCTGCTGAAGCACCTCCCTGAGGCTGTGATCTACGCTTGCCGTTCTCTTGGCTTGCCTGCTCAGCTATTTGATCAGCCTTCTTCGTGGCAATCCGGTCGTCGTCCCATAATGCGTAGCGCTCTGCTATAGCGAAGACTTCTACCAGTGTTTGGCGAGGATAGATGGTCAGCTCGCGATACAGCTCACATTCAGTTGGCAACCCTCTCTTGAAGGCAGAGGACGCAATTTGGTCATCACATCCTACAATGTTTGCCCTCTCCGCCTTGAACCTCTTGATGTAGTCTCGCAGGGATTCATTGGACTTCTTGTGCAGGTTGAACAGATGGTCAGGATTCTTCTTGATTGACCGATAAGAAGTGTATTTTTTAGTGAAGACATAAGTAAGCTCCTTGAAGCTGCTGATTGACCCGGATGGCAGGGTGTGGAACCAGTCCTGAGCTGCTCCTTGCAAAGTCATTGCAAAACACCTTGCACATTAGCGCGTCTTCGGCTTTGTAGAGGATCATAAGGCTCTTAAAATGCTTCAGATGGCTTTCGGGATCGGAATTTCTTTTGAAGCATGTAAAAAAAAGGCGTTGAGAATCGTTTCGGGGGAGCAGCCTGCTCAATTTCGACAGTGAAAGGTGATGAGTTTGCTCGGTCTACCTCAACACGTAGTGCATCTTCGAAATTTCCACCAATCTTTAAGTCTCGAAGTCGGTTATTCACAAGCTTCTCAACGTCTTCCGCACACATGGCTAGTCGGTCACGTTGATGACCTTTACGATTTGGGTGAGACCGAGTAACTTCATTGTTGGTTTGCAAGGGTTGATCTTCTCGGCTGCGCTGCCTAGGCAGCGTGTTGGTGGATCGTGCTTGCGAGGGATTTTCTGTAACTTGGCAATGAGAATTGGTTCTTCGAGAGTGGTCAGTAGAGTGCCTTTCTTCACGGTCCTCGTTATGCGGGTTACCAAGTTGACATCCTTGGGGGCCTAGCCTTTCGTGAATATTTCTCTGTGAGCGAGTAGCGGAGCACCTTTCTTCATGATCCTGATTGCGGCGATTGTCAGTTTGACCTCCCTGGGAACCTAGCCTTTCATGAACATTTCCCTGCGGGCCCAGGCGAGCGCAAACGTCAAGTTGTGGGCCGAGTCTTTCTCGCACGTTGCTTTGTGTGTGGCTT